TTGTTTTGGTCTGACTCAGAGTTTCCTGCCAGCCTCCTGCAGGTAGAGAGGAGAGCTCAGGGCTAATTATCCCCTCCTAATCCCACGCTCTGCTGCAAGGAGCGGGGATCAGAGRAGGAAGCAATTCCCAGCTCTTGAATTTGCGGGGTTGGATTTGGGAYTGAGCTCTGAATCCTCTGCAGCTCCGCAGCCCCTCTGGCAGGACCCCATTGAGCCCTGTCCCCAGCCCCCCTTTTCCCTCCCTGTAACCCTTCTGGAATGTTCTGACACCAGTTGATTTATGAGAAAACCAGTTCAACTGGGCAGATAACGAGTGTTTCCCAGCACCTCATTCCTGCAGACCGTATCAGGAAAAATCCCTTTGATTCCAGAGGCTCCACACATCCCTCAAGCTCTCTCTGAGGGCATCACCTTCCCTGTTCTCCAAAATTCCCACTGAAACCTTCAGAAATGAGGATAAATGAGGATAAATCCCTTTCCAAACCAGCTCAGCTTCCCCCTGACCCCTTTGCTGCCACCACTGGTCACACCCCCTCAAAGGGGTGACAACTTCTCGCTGCCAACACCTTCCAGTGCCACCAATGTCACCTGTTGCAGGTGGCTCTTGGCCCCGCTGGGCACGGGGAGGTCTCGYTCTCACAGCCACCCGAGCAGCAGCCGAGAAATCTCACAGAGAAACCCCATTTCCCGTGATTTTTATGCCGCGGAGCACCCGGCCTTCACGGGATCGATACGGGGCTGCTGCCGGCGCCAGGAATTTTGCAGTCAGTGCCCGTGCCTGGGGCTGAGATAAATCCCTTCGTGAGCTCRTTAGTGCCCAGCTCCTCTCCCAGCTAATTGGGGCTGCAGGGCTGAGGCTGTGACAGATCCAGGCCGCTCTGGCCAGCCCGGGGAGCACAGGGATGGACATCGGGATGTTCCTCATTCCCGTGGACCTGGAGGGGCAGTTTCCCACCTGATTTCCCAAAGTCCACCTCCCCAGCCCAGTTCCTCCTGCCTTCCACCTTCTGACCCCCCTGTCACCCCTTCTCTGCCCCCCAGCACCTCCAGCACCACTCCAGAGCTGCGGATTCAGCGGAGCCGGGATGCTCCAAGGGCAGCAGCTTTGCAGAGGGTTGGATTTCAGCTGCTCAGCTGGCAGGCTGTTTGCGARCAGGTAGCTGCATTTATCCTCATTTGTTCCCTGAGAGTGGCTTTGTTTGCTTCTCTCCATCCCTGCAAACACCTGAGAGCCGGGCTGGGTGCGCTCCCCGTGCGTGGCGCCGGGCAGAACTCGGTATTCCTGATGGGCAGAGCTCAGCATTTCCGATGGACAGAGCCCTGGACAGAGCTCAACATTCCCCCGGGGCAGAGCTCGGCATTCCCGCCGGGCAGAACCTGGGGCAGAGCTCGGCATTCCCGCCGGGCAGAACCTGGGGCAGAGTTCAACATTCCCGAGGGGCAGAGTTCAACATTCCCGAGGGGCAGAGTTCAACATTCCCGAGGGGCAGAGCCCTGGGCAGAGCTCGGCATTCCCGATGGACAGAGCTGGGACAGGGCACAACATTCCCGATGGGCAGAGCCCCGGGGCAGAGCTGGGAATTCCCGATGGGCAGAACTCTGGGTAGAGCTCGCTATTCCCGATAGACAGAGCCCTGGACAGAGCTCAGCATACCCCCGGGGCAGAGCTCAGCATTCCCTCCGGGCAGAGCTCCTCATTCCCGATGGACAGAGCCCCGGGGCAGAGCTGGGAATTCCTACTGGACAGAGCCCTGGGGCGCGCTCGGCATTCCCGATGGGCAGAGCTCGGTATTCCCCAGGACAGAGCTCGGCATTCCCGCCGGACAGAGCCCCGGGAGCCCCGGGCAGCCGCTGCTCGCTGCTCAGCCGTGCTCACAAGCACAAATCGCTCTTCCAGCCCGCCTGGCTCAGCAGCAGCACCTCTGTGCCCGGCTGGGAGAGCAGCCAGGGCCTCGCTTTTCCCTTCTGATGC